ATGGCACACCAATTTCTTTAGGGTGAACTGATAGTCTCAGGTCTGCGTGTGTCTCAACCTCAGTCTTTTTAGTGGTGAGGGATGCCTTGTATCCATGACAAGGTCTAGTCTACATATAATACAGGCAGTAAATAGGGACTATTGAAGAAACAGCTGTCTCTAATGCTCAGTCTGACACAGTATAAAAAATGGATTGCTATAGTGTTTTCTTCATTTACCTTTGTTAAATAAACCTTTTTTTTGAAAATATCAAATTGTCTGTTGAAATAAGGACTTAATAATTGTGTGACAAAGTTTGGGACAACAAACTCTTCCATGCTTTTCCAATAAATAAGTTATACAAAATTATGGTGGTTTCTATCACAAAGTTCGGGACAACAAACTCTTCCATGCTTTACCAATAAATGAGTTATACAAAATTATGGTGGTTTCTATGCATAAGTTAGAAAATAGAAGATTACAGTAGTTATATCAATTGTAACTGTGTCCCTGTTTTTTACATGGAATATTGGATATCAACCTGGTATTAGAATTAAAAGATTAAGATATGAATTGAGGAACAGGAAAGAATAACGCAACTTCCAGTCATGTGAGATCTGTTTTGATATTGTGAGAACAGTTTTGGGGACTTGAAAATGGAGAGGGTGATGAATGTGAAAGAATGTTGAAGATGAGTTACTTATTTGACTCTTCATTGAAAATCACACTTGAATGCCTAGAAAAGGACGTATAAGAAAGTGCATAAAATTGCATATCTATTTGAAATTGTGCCTAAGAGCAGTGAGCAAAAATTGAAATTATAGGCACTAGCAACATCAAACTTTCCATAATGGTTTTGATGCAGTTTTAACGGTCATATTTGAAAATGAACTTTTTTTTTTTAACTTAACAAAGCACACATTCTCTTGAGGATTTTAGATGCCAGGTCAAAACTAGTTTTGTTATCTGTGTATAAAAAGCAGAAAACATTGAATCTTTCCTTCTGTTATCAAGTTGACCATTAATTTGTTGGTATTTTTTCAAATAGTAATTTATCTCTAAGTTGAGAAAAAGCATCAGGTGTATGTATGTGTTCAAAATGTAATTTGGGGGGAATTCAGTCAGGAAAGTAGAGTTTGGAATAACAGGATTCTTAGCCATAACGTTAATGTAGTTAGTATGATGTTGTAGTAGTAATGATTTAGCACTACAGGGATGTTGTGTCTGAACAAAATCTTACATCTGTCACAATCTTAGAAATGTTTATGATGATGTTGGTGTTGCGGAGGCAGTTTAAAACGGTGCATGTGGAAAAAAAAATAGTCTTGAAGAAAACTCACACATTAGTAGTGAATATTAATGCAGAATTAGAATAACATATTTTTGCAGGTACCTGTCTTGGGCCTTAGACACAAACCAAGAAGAACGAGACAAAGGTAAAACAGTAGAAGTGGGCCGTGCCTATTTTGAAACAGAGAAGAAACACTTCACAATCCTAGATGCCCCTGGGCATAAGAGTTTTGTTCCAAATATGATTGGAGGAGCTTCTCAAGCTGATTTGGCTGTATTGGTAAGAAAAACAAATTGGACATCTGTGTGTAATAGAACCGTTATTTATAGCTAAATCAGAATTATATGTATCAAATATTATCTTGTCAGTTGTGTTGTCTGAAACTTTCAAATCTTAATGTAACAGTCTAGTAATACTTGTACGCATTTTAGTTCTGATATGTATACTATAAGTCATCTTCTAATGTCACCACTGTCAAAAGGCTTTGAGTATTAGCTTGTGGTGTTTAAGCATTCAGTGTTGATTGCACTATTGAATTTAAATCCTTTGTAATTGCAGAACTAACTGAGAATAATTCTAATTCTTAAGGGGTTTTTTTTAATTCTTAACACACTATTTTAAAATTTAGGTTATTTCTGCAAGAAAAGGAGAGTTTGAAACTGGATTTGAAAAGGGGGGACAAACAAGAGAACATGCAATGTTAGCAAAAACAGCAGGTGTAAAACATTTAATAGTTCTTATTAATAAAATGGATGATCCAACTGTAAACTGGAGTAATGAAAGGTGAGTTTCTATGAAGTAAAAAATTATTTTAAAAATATTTTAATGTAATTCGCTATAGCTGAACTACAAGCTACAGTAGTTTCCAGCTACTGCTGTTCTTTGCCAAAGTCTCATTTGATCCTGGAGTGGAAGGGCGTGAAAGTATAGGCATAACCTGTAGAGCATCCCCTGGCAAAGCAGGCAATTATGAATTTTAGTGGTTTGTTGTGCATGTAGGTCCAACAAAGCCACAAGCTCTAATATTATTTTAGAGTTGGGAAAACTTTAAATGCTTGAAAATGGGGAAGAAGTCTATCAATGTATATAATTAGTTCAATTTGCCAGACTTTGATTTACTTTAGTAATAATTTGAATAACTCCAGTAACTTAAGCGAAAAGGGCATTCAGCAATTTTATTTTAAACTTTCTTTCTTACCGTTCAGTTTGTTTGGGGGGGCATAAAGCATACATTGCTAAAGTTACTTCATGTGGCAAATTGATTGACAAGTCACAGATCAAATACTCAATAGTGATCTAATCCGTGAGATTTCTTTTTTATTTTTATTACAATATTAGATTTCAAGTAGAATTACAATATGAGATTTCAAATACAGAACTTTACTGGAGTGTTTTAATTTATCATGATTTAGTTGCATTACAATTTTTAATAGATACGAAGAATGTAAAGAAAAGCTGGTGCCATTTTTGAAGAAAGTTGGCTTCAATCCCAAAAAAGATATTCATTTTATGCCCTGCTCGGGACTGACTGGAGCAAACCTTAAAGAGCAATCAGATTTCTGTCCTTGGTATATGTAAGTATCTTAGTTTTTGTCATTGTGTTGAAGAAGAAATAATAGTTCAGTAATAGGCAGCACTGCAGTGAAGATAGGCAGAAGTGTAGGTTTATATCTTCTAGTCAGGTCCAATGTGATGATTAGCTAACATACATGTGAGGGAAAATCTATTATTGCAAAAGCAAGTAGAAAATAGTATGTTCAAGAAGTAAAGTAGAAGCATTTGGGAACTGTTGAAGAACTTAAGTACAAAAGCATTGTTGTATATTGAATTAAAGGTTACCCTGGACCATAAGAGTATTTTCCTTTTTTTGAGAGATTTTGAAAGTGCTGTACTGCCACTTGAATTTTCAAGTGATTTCATGTTGCGTGTTTGGCTGGGGTGCAGAATAGTCTGTGTAGAGATCTAATAAGATTGTGGACATGGCTTATAGACATTTAATGCTAAGATTGCTCATATAGCTCAAGGCAATTAAACCATGTTAATGAAAATGGCTTTGAAAACTATCCTGTTATGTTCACACTCGTGGAACAGATTTAGCATTTCTAGCAAGACGCGCAATGAATGAATGAACTGTTCTAAAAAAGGCCTGTAATGTGGTTTTAAAATTAAATTGTGTGAATGTAAGCAATATAACCATTTTCCACTACCATGTTCTGTTAACCCATACGTATTAATGATGTTAAGGATTTAATTGCTTAGAGCAGTGTTTCACTCTCACCTGCGGTACACTTCGGGGAGTCACTTGTTCTATCTAAAGGCCCTCACGGCTCCCATTGACTCTGGTTCGCAGTTTCCAATCTAAGGGAGCCGTGGGATGTGGTAGTCACTTCCTGCTGTTCCCCTTGGTTGGAAATGGTGAACTGGAGCCAATGGGAGCTGCAAGGATCCATAACTATGGTACCTTCAAATAAACAAAACAGAGTAGCCTACTGTTAAGAGAAGAAACAGGCAACCCAGGAGCGGATGGGGTCAATGGAACTGCTTTATTGCCCATGCACATTTACCTTGGACATCCAACACAACGTCCAAGTGGCAATGCCACTCTCCAGCCCTTGCCAGGAGGTCTGCACCCATACCCTCCTTTGCCTCAAGTCCCTGTGCTGAGCTGGCTGGCTCCTGCCCTTTTCTCTCTTGCTGAATGGTCCCTTTCCATGGACACAGGCTTACTCTACCAATTTAGCAAAGAGACTGGTCTTTTCAACTGCCCCCTTACCTTCTGGTCCCTTTCTTAAAAATTTTAAATGTCTTATGTTTGTGTACCTCTCCTTGAAGAGAGGGGGTGAGGGAAACAGGAATTTTGCTTCAAAGAGGGGCAGGAAAGGGTAACAGAAGTAGGGAGGTTAGATGAGGTAAAAGAAGTAGGAGTAGTGGGGGGGTAAGAATTTTGCTTTAAAGCATCTGCTGGACCCTTCAGGCCAGGTTCTCTGACTTATGGCGATTAAAAATCATCCCTGCAGTTTCCAGCCATCCCGGCTGCCAACGCACACTAATGATTTAACAGTGTGCTGCTTCCCAGCAATCTGCTGCAGAGTTTCTACTTTGCTTCCAAGATTAGCAACTTCCTCCCACAAATGTGAGAGACCCTCACACAGAACCTGCACCAGCATAGCCCGGGGAACTCCTGGACACAAGGGAGGCTTCCACCCACCCCGGATGGCAGACCAATCCTGATGATCCTCCGTTTTCCCCACCAACTTGTTAATACAATCCCTAACCATTCTTGTAGTAAAGAGCCTGTCAGACTTACCAGTGGGCTCCATTGAGACCTGATGATCAGGCAGAACACTTTTCTGGGATCCTGTTCACAATGCCAGTTGTGAGAAGAAACAGGCAACCCAGGAGCAGATGCTGTAAACAGAACTACTTTATTGCCACTCGGACATTGTGTTGAATGTCTGGGGTAAACGTGCATAGGCAATAAAGCATTTCCGCTGACGCCACTGCTCCTGGGTCACCTGTTTCTTCTCTAACACCCACTAGCACCTTTCCCAAAGCAGGCCTATGTTGCACTTTGAGAAACACCAGTTCAGCGGTTAAAGTCTTTCTCTCTCTTGTGTTGGGCTAATATTCTTTTCTTTACTTCTAATCAATAAGCCATACTGTTCAGCTAAATTTTAAACCATGCAAAATGTTTGTTTAAATAAATATTTTTACTCTTTTTAGTGGATTACCATTTATTCCATATCTGGATAATTTGCCAAACTTCAACCGTTCAGTTGATGGACCAATCAGGCTGCCAATTGTGGATAAATATAAGGTACAAAATGAAAGTAGGATTTGAAATTGATTATGTAAATCTAATAGATGGTCCATTTATTCCTCTCTGACTTGAAAAATAAAGTATTCATGTATTCTGTCTTGTGGTGGGCCTGGTGTCATTTGTTTTTTGATACAGTGGATTGACTAAAAGGGTGACTTTTGCTTTTAAATATGTTCTAGTGCTGACCCTTTTGTGCTTTAGATACTTTCCTAGGAGAAAAACATTAACTTAGATGCAGTAATGCAACATCATTTGATGTATGAATTGATGTTTCTAAGTTGACATTTGACTAAACAGTAAAATAGAGCAATATTTTATGAAAATGTTTTACAATAGTGTTTCTTTTACAAAGGATATGGGCACTGTGGTCTTGGGAAAGCTGGAATCAGGCTCCATTTGCAAAGGACAGCAGCTTGTGATGATGCCAAACAAGGTATGGCAAGTTTTCACCCTCCGTATTTAAAAAGTTTCTAAGGCTACATCAGTTTGGTTTAGAGTAAATAAATTGATAAGAACGTCCATGTTTGGCAGAGTGTCAGGCAGGATTCAGCTTTGTTTTGAAATGGTGGAAACCTATAGAATTTATGGAGGAAAACATCAGTGTTTAATATCTAAGTTTAGCAGTTAACTTTTCTCTGCATGTTGAGTATGTATTTACTTTTGAATGCGGAGGAAATCAAAGTTACATTTCATCACTGAACTCAAGTTATTTTTAGGTCATCAAAATCAGTCTGGCTTATTGGAGCTGTAGTTTACTTTGCAGTAGGTATATTTGCCCAGTTGAATCCTTTTTTCTGCTGGGAGTTAGTATCCACCATCCTCTTGCACATTATCCATTTTATAAGTGGGAATGGAACAAGCTGAGCTTATGTGTTTTGTGAAAGAGTTGATTTTTTTTTAATACAAAATGCATTGATGCTTAGACTGATTTCCATGTCACCTCTTCTGGAAAACTAGAAGGAGCAAGTTAATAGTATGGGGCATGTTTTTGCATTAAAGACTTAAAAATTGACAGTACAGAGGAGCTAGCTTTGTGTTGCTACCATCTGAGTAAATAGTATTCAGTAGCATGGTTAAAAGTACATTTTGTAATGCCAAAGGTCTTGAAAGTTGCCTCATACTTGTTTTTGACATTCTGTCTATACCTGAATTAAGATTCTAAGTTGGAAACAAAGTGTCTGAAAATTTCTTTTCAAAAGTGATCTTGCAAAGTAACTTATATTTGATGTCCAGCCCACCTTCATTTAGGGCAGGGGTCGGCAATCTGTGGTTTGCGAGCCAGATATGGCTAATTAGGGAGCTAGATATGGCTCTTCTGGAGCCCCAGCTCAACCTTCTAGCTCTCCAGCAAGCAGGGAGCTGGGACTACAGCCTTATAGGCCCCCTACAAGACTGGAACATCAGCATCAGCTTCCGGGGGAGGGGGAGTGAGAGAGAAGAAAGCCCAGAGCCTCCCCACCAGATCCAGCATGCAGGGAACAAGCAGAGCAAAAAATGTCTGGGTGTGCTGCTTTTTTCTTTCCCTTGGCATGCGGGAAACAAGCAGACAAAAAATGGCTCCATGCGTACTTCCCTTTTTCATCCCCCGGGCAACACTTCTCTGGAGGCTTCCCTTGCAAATCCTTCCTGGAGGCTTCTGGGGAATGGAAGGACCAGGAGGCATGTTGCATGGTGCCTGCCACGCAGTGCGAAAATAAGTGCCTCCCACTTCATCATGCCCAGGCCCCCACCCTCTCATTCACCTCTGCCCCCTGGCCAGAATTTCCCCCTCCCCCCTCTTCCCTAGGCACCCCCTGGTCAGGCAGCCAGCCCCCAGCTCACTCCTGCCCTCTGTCCCATGGCCAGGGAGCATCCTCACCTCCTCCCACCCAGATCCTGCACTCTCATCCCTCTCCCATTCACTGTCAGCCTGGTCCTGTCCTGCACACTTAACCCTTCATTTTTTTTGCCCCACCCTAGAGCTTAGAGGGGCCATCAAAATTCACTAAGCCTGGACTTCAGAAGAGTAAATCTGGCCTGAGGCCTTGAACCTCAGTCCTCCTTGCCCTTTCCTCCAAGGGAGTGAAGTTGGGGGGTCACATCAGTGAGGGCTAGGGTGGATGTTTTGTTGTTTTTTGTTTTTGTGTTTTTTGCGTTTCACTTGTGTGGTCCCTTGACTGATTTTTTTTTTTTTCTGTGGGTCAGTAGCCCCTGACCCAAAAAGGTTCCCCACTCCTGCCATAAATAAAGATAATGTTGAAACCTTTTGAGTTGGATATAATATTGTACTTTGTTGGCCAGGCTTCATTTTTAAATAAACCCCCAATTGGGGCCCAGCCCCAATCTGACCACAGGGTCATAACACTCCTACACCCCACACACAACAAACCTGAGCAAATCCCAAGTCCCCTGCCATAATACTCCCAATACCTCCACACACTCCAACCTTGTGCCCTGATTCCATTATACACCCCAACCCAGATTCCTGCACCCCCACGTCACCAGCCCCTGCCATAAGATTGACAGAAGACAGCCTGAATGCATGCATTAAGTTGGATTTGACCAGTTACGATGTAAACTTCAAAGAAATGTGTGAAAAGATTCAGCAGCAGAAGTCCCATTAAATAAAGTCTGTGAGTACAATGTTTCATTTATGCTATTATTAATCATCAATTATCCATAATACTACCTTGTATATTTTCAGTCATACAAATGGGCATTCTTATACGCCTCTTTGTTGACCACTTGTTCTGAATTTTGATGTAGTTTGGCTCTTTGATTTGAAAGATTGCCGACCCCTGCTTGAAGGGCATGAAGAGTCGATTTACATCCTTATCTCTATTGGGGCTCAAATTACAAGCATTTGTTCTACTTGTGTAGGTGACTAAAGAAATCAGTCATCACAGCACTGAATAAAATAATTACTCCTGAAATTTGAGTAAAACAAGTTTATCAAAATGTAATTGTTCCATAAGGGTCAAATCACTTTGTAACCATATTTTTCTTGTTAAAACTTACTTTGCCTATTTTAGTGAAAATTTAATGTTTCTCTGGACACTTCTACCTGGCACTTCTTATTTGCAAGTGATCAAGAAAAGATTTGTTTTAAAATACACTTTCTGTGGAACTTGAGCAATTATTTCCCTGGCCAGGCGTGGCGGGGGAGGTGAAGATTCAACAATTTAAAGAACTGATTTGAGATGTAATTCTTAGATGAGCTTGAAACTTGGCTTAAAGTACTTTAAATAGTTATTCCCTTTTCATGATAAAACTGATATATCAGTGTTTATCATTAGTAATTGTAACTCAGTAGGCAAATTAGTGGAGAGACTGAGAAGTTGCAGATGCTTTTAGCAAATTACCATAAACATAAAATTTGTGTACATCAATATGTCCTTCTATACTTAATATGACATGGGCTCCTGTTAGTGGCCGTAGTGAGCTAAAACTTTACAAAAGTGAACAGTAGTGAACTTTTTTGCAGGGCAGGATGAATTTCTTTATTCTTTTGCTTACATGCTGCTTCATATTAATCTAATTGTTCATCACTGGTCCTTACTGGTGAATGACGGCATGAGACCGAACAACAGGCTATGGTATAAAGCAGGGTTTCTCAAAGTGTGCTCCATGGAGCTTAGGATGTGAAGGACTAGTTTGCTTATTGGATAGTTGACAGGGTAGTCGGCTAGTCGCTCCCCCCTCAGATAGAGGCTGCAAGTGGGGGAGAAGAGGAGGGTACTTCAAAGTGGCAGTGCCGCACGGAGCCCGGGGTCAGCTGCTCTGTGCAGCACTGCTGCTTTGAATGCTGTGGGGAACCCAGTGTCAGGCTCCTTGCAGCATTTCAAAGCAGCAGCACTGCGTGGAACCTGGGATCAGCTGGGGAGCTCTGGGTGATGGGTCCAGGAGCTCTGCAAGAAAAATATTAACAGTTGTATGGAGTGATTTTTTTTTAATTAAAAAAATAATTGAGAACTGATTTTATAAATGACCTACTATACTGAGAATTATTGTGGCAACATTCAATAAATAAGCTTAATATTGCAACATGAAATGAAGGTGGAGGGGTATATAAACCTATGCATAGCTCCGCAGAACATCGAGCCTACAGCTAACGTAGATAACAGCACACTGCAGTAATGCATAGGACGTTGCACAGGAGCTTCAAGCCCAATGTGATTAGATCAGTGGTTCTCTCCATCTTGCAGGTGGACCCTGCCACCTCCCCCCCGCAGCAGGAAGCTAGCACTGATGCTTCAACCCCATGGTGCTCTCCTATCCCCCTGTGAGGTTGGCTGGGAGAGACTCGCTGCTCTGACCTCAACAAGGAGCTGCTACTGTAGTGGGGGGAGAAGGGCCCCTCCCCAGCCAGAAAATTTTCTGCTGGAGCCCTGAGCCCCTGGCTGGGCATGGCTCATGAAGCAGCTGTTAGGCCATGCTACTGCCCAGCGTAGAGGGACTTGTGGGCTCCACAGACAAAGTTTGGGAAACCCTTGTATAAAGGAATGTCAGCCAATTAGATTATATGATGTTTTGTTTGAGAACATTCATAAACCTGCATCCTAATTTAGGAAGCTCTACAGAGTCTTCTCTCATGATCTGCAGTTAGTCACTTCGTTCATTATGACACATGGGTCATTTTATCAGTGCTGAAAAAGTACATTCTAGAAAACATTACTTTGGCAGATAGTTTTTCATCTTTGGTTGAACATCAAGTTCATGAGAAATTTTAAAACTTTACTGTTTTGAACACACTGTTTTGAATACTGTTCTAGTTCTTAGAACACCACAACATATACTCGCCAAAGTAGACAAGACTTATCCCTTGTGTGTCTTTCCTCCGTAAATGCTTATTGGATACATAGGAGTGGTGATGCCTTTGCTGCGATGGAAGCCTTCTGATACTTGCCGTAGAAGACTAAGATCTAAAATACACCATATCACAATATTGCATTAATTAGAATATTGAACAGAACAAATGTGCTGTATTATATTTTAATAACTGAGCGATACCAGGAAATTTCCTTCCATGTTCATATTTTTCATATAATTGTGAAATGTATATAATATGTTTAGTGTAACATACATTTAAACTGAAGACGCAAATGCAGAGATGTAGCTGACAAACTGTGTAGGTCTTATACACATTTTGTATTAGTGATTTTTTTTTTTTTTAGCGACAATGACATGTTTTATTTAATGCATATATCAGAAAACCTGAATCTTGCTTTTTTTAAGCACAACGTGGAAGTTCTTGGAATTCTTTCTGATGATGTAGAAACTGACTCAGTAGCCCCCGGTGAAAACCTGAAGATTAGGCTTAAAGGAATAGAAGAGGAGGAGATCCTTCCAGGGTTTATACTCTGTGATCCTAATAACTTGTGTCATTCTGGACGTACATTTGATGCCCAGGTACACTAAAAGAAATATAGTTCTGTAATTCCTTGTATCTTGTATCTACTAAGAGTGAATGACACTAACTAACCTACAGCATATGAAATTCAGAATTTTCACAGATACTATGGTGTAAGACCACTGTATGATTTCATAAATCTTAATCCAAGATCTAAAATCATTTCTCGTAAGAGTCATAAGTGAATTACATGTTTTATTCTTGGAACAAATGTACTCTGAATGTGAATATTCTACTTAAAGTTTCAGAAATCGCTAATCTTAAAGCAAAACTATATTTTCCTACTTACACACTAGCTGTTGTTCAGTAAGCATACATTTGTATTATAAGACATTCGGTCATTTTATTTGTCTTGTGACAAGAGTTTAGCATAAACTCATTGTTTCTGAAAAGTTGTATTCAGTGATGTTACACGCTACATGTATAAAATTCTAGATAAAGTTGTGTGATAGAGAGCTAGCCCTAACTGATTAGTCTCTGCCTATTTAGGATATAGTATGTGTGGAATGCAGTTATATTAAACTTCTTGTATTACTTTACAGATAGTGATAATTGAGCACAAATCCATCATCTGCCCTGGTTATAATGCAGTGCTGCACATTCATACCTGTATTGAAGAAGTTGAAATAACAGTGAGTTTATATTAATTTTTTAATGTAAAGACTGCATGCTCTTCAGACCAGGAACTTTGTTTTTCAGTTGTTTGCAAAGAAAATAATATGACAGGTCTCCAATATGGATTGGACCCTTACGTACTAACATAACGCAACAAATAAATGTCTTGTGTAAATATTGGTATAAACCCCTTGAACACTTAGATTTCTGAATACTACTATTTGTTCAAACTTGAAATCATAAAAGAATATTGTTTATTGTCTTCGTACCCAAAACTACCAAGAGTGCAGGGCTATCTTTCTACCTTTTAAAATTTGTTTACTTGTGCATTGACAGCATTTTGTCTGTCAGTTTCACTGTATTCCAGGTACAGACCATTTCCTCTTATTTTTGTGGATTTTTCCCCCGCAGTAACAAGGGAGAGGGGCATTTGCAGGAAAAAAAACTCTTATAAAATCACCATAATTGGTGATAGGGTGGTGGTGAGTGTCTCACGAGCAAGCGTTATGTAAGTCAACTGTTAACTTTTTCTAAATATACTACATTTCAAGTAGGTAGTACTTTTAAATAGGCTTGAAGAATACTGGTGCTTTGTTTCTGAGGGGAAAATAAAATTGTCATTGAACTGTTTTACTAACAATTAAAACGTCTCATTCTTGTGCAGGCCTTAATCTGCTTGGTAGACAAAAAATCAGGAGAAAAAAGTAAGACACGACCGCGTTTTGTGAAACAAGATCAAGTATGCATTGCCCGTTTAAGGACAGCAGGAACCATCTGTCTTGAGACATTCAAAGAGTTCCCTCAGATGGGTCGTTTTACTTTAAGAGATGAGGGTAAGAGTATTTGTGCAACTATTAAAATTTTGTTTCTGTACATATACACCATCTTATTACATATAGAATAAGAATCTCAAACACTGCAACTGAAATGAAAAAATGGAACTACTGGCTGTCCATTTTTTAATTGTGGTACTTAGTAGAAAATTTTCTGTAGAAAAATGTTCCTTATGCCTACTGCAAAACAGTAATACCATTGTACAATAGAAAAGAGACGAGATGGCCACTGCTAATAATAGAAATGCATTCACATTTATTGCAAATTAAAGTGAAAGAGTGCATTATAAAACAGGAAGCTGAATTTAAAAAAAAAATCAGTACTCATCTCTTCAACCATGCATCCTGACTAATATGCTCAAGACATACACTCTTTGAGTTGTAAAACAATGTATTTGCAATAGTTTTATGCATGATATTGCTATACAAGTCCTTTTAAAATTAACAGTGTACTAGGGTTTTGTTTTGTAAAGCTCAACGGATCCTCCAGGGTATGGTTGTCATATTAGCAAGTTTGTGGGTTATGTATCTTATAGGACTTCCTATATATCTTCAGTGGTCAGGGGCTCAAACGTTATCCCACTTAACTTTTCATAACCAAAAGTTGTAGGATACATGTATTAGGTCTGTAAAAGCTTCTACAGTGTGCTTTAGAAATGTGTCCATCATTAAGATATGCAAGGCTGATGCCTGTACTTCATTTCTTTCACAATATTAGTCTCCAAAATTGGGCCTCAGATCTTGAGAAGTCCTATATTCTTTACTAGTAACAACACTTTTAAGGAGTCAAGTCTATGAACTAGTCAGTCTCCCAGGAATTGACCAGTAGCCCCAGAAATGTAACTTACCTAGTAACTGTAGATTATTATATGTCCACTTTAAGTTTCTGAGGTAGAGGTTATGTGGAAACAAGTGAGGGACGGCTGTGGGTGTTGCCCCTTTTGAGTCTGTAAGTCTGAATTTTTCAAGTTGAGAAAAGGAAGTGTGCAGCACAAAAGGTCTGTCCATTTTCTGTATGTTTCTAAGGTTCTTATGGACATATAAAGATCCCCATTCTTTCTATTTACTTGTTTCCTCATCAGACTGGCTGAATATGCTGTTGTTCAGCTTGTGATAAAAGTAGCCACTTCAGAAATGTAAAAATACGCAGTAAAATATGACCTCTTAAAATGCCAGCATTTCTGGATATATTAGCTTTCCCTGGATTTATGCCCTTGTCGGGAGATTACTGCAGCTAAGTTGAAAAGTAAATGTTTTCCTGAGAGTTTCTCCCATCTTTGACACATTTTTCTCAGTTGAGAAAGTAAATGGACTGTTTTAAAATCAGAATGATTTTAGATGTTAATGGTTGGAGTTGCTTCAAAACACGGACTTACAATTGAAATCATGCTTGCATTTCATCAGCACTGAGTCAAAAGTACAGGTTCTTCAAGTGCTTGCTTATATGTATTCTAACTGAGGTGTGCGCACACTGCATACACAGCTGCCAGAAAATTTTTACCCTAGGTGCTACCTGTTGGGTCGGCTGTGGAGCCCCCTGAAATGGCACTGTTGCAATGTCCTATATAAGACCCTGCCAACCAGTGTTTCCTCTAACTTTTTCTATCCTTGGGCCAGTTGAAATTTATGTGCAGTACCAATATTGAAGTAGTGTGTGGATGTGTACCAGACAGATTTTTAAACCGTCCACTAGTATGGAAGAAAATATATTAAAACAGGAGATAGTTAACAAGGAGCAATGCTTATGATATTTAATATGAAATCAAATAAAGAAAATTAACGCTACCCTTGGAGTACATGTATTATCATCGCTTTTTACTCAAGTAAAACACATCAAAATGCATATTATCCACACACAGCTCAACTTTCAGATGCTAAACAAATCTGAGTCAACTAGAATCAGTTATGCTCTCCTCACAAATATTAATACAGTACTTACTGACACTGGAAAGTAAAGTAAAAGGCATTCGCTAAGGCTTATGCAGTTTCTTGGGAATCTTTAGAATCCTTGCTATACAAGAACAAGTGAAACAGAGACCTGTACAAACAGATACAAGTTCTCCTGTCTGAAACTCTCACCTTGTGTGTGTCACCAATTCAGAGTAGAAGCCCCAGAACAAATTAACAGATGGCTTCAGGGTTTGTAGACAGATGCGTGTTTCAAAGAGCTTGCAAATAAAGGTTCATCCTACCAAACAACTAGCATCATACCTAGTACTTGCCAGAACTCTACCACATAGCAAAGATCTGGCTTTAATGCAATAGAATACAACATGTATTAATTAGTAACACAGGATTTAAAAAACCATTAAGATCAGAGTTTTAGGTATCTGCAACACTCAAAAAAATTTCTGTTAAAACCGCCTTTCTTTCTTACCTTAAGCCATTAACACCCATGTAAAATGTTTGAAATGTAATCATGCAAATGCAAATCGCGCGCACACACACACACACACACACACACACACACACACACACACACACACACACACACACACACACACA